GTTTTGTGTGGGTTATATTGCAAACCATCATGAATGAGATATTAAAGGTTGGGGTGGAAATAACTGAATGAACTATGTCTTCAATAAGTGCAATTACTAGATATATCAAGGATCACTATTATGGAGATAATTAGTTCATTTTATAAGGTCGTCATTGTCTAGTGCTATATATGGCAAATATTCTCAAAACAATTCCAATAACTCAATAATTCAATAATAGTGAATATTAAAATCAATTCTTTTCAATAACCTAATTTCCTCTCTAAGTGTGCACATTCTCAAGCTAGTCTCCTACTATTTCAAGGATATTTTTGAGGTAAGACTAGGTCATACAAAGTCCATAGTTTTCAATGAATCCGCATAGTGAGATTAATACAATAATCATGCTTGTAAAGCTTTAATTATTCAATAAAACCTCTTTAAATCAATAATTCCAATAAACAATTTAAACTTCTTTTTATTAAATTCAACATGCTTTCAAAATCAAACCTTTTAAGCATGATAAATAATTTTAATCATTCAAAATATGATACAAAAATCAATAATCCAATTTATTTATCAAACCAATTATTAAAAACATGCTTTTATTTCATAAAACATAATTCTAATCAATTTAATCCAATCACCAACACAGTCATATGAAATATGCTATTCAAACCAATCACTTTTATAGGTATCTAGCCACCTAAACATACCTTGATTATGAATATCAATCAACATTTTGTACTTTCAAAGTTCAATCACGAATACACTTTGCAATTAACATAACCATTAGGTTGTCACATCATCTTTAGCCATAAACCCAAATCTAATGTGCATGGATCGGACAATAAAATAATAATTTAATATAAAATTATAACTTTGAAATAGATATTTTTATATTTTAGAAAACTAGCCATGAAGAAAATAAGGAATAGGATTAAACTATTAAAGAGAATTGGGTTTGCGGTTGGAGAGAACAGGTAGAACTTGCAAAGGCTATAACTTCTTCAATTTAACTCCAAATTGGGTGATTCTTGATCCTAACCTCAAGGATCAATTTTTCATGAAATAGCAAACCCCAAAACTGATAAGAAGTGCTCGAAGAATGGTTCCAAAGATATACAGGCTGATTTTTTTTAGAAAGGAGGAGAAGAAAAGTAGGAAAAGGTTGAGGGAAAAGAAGAATAAGAGAGAAGAAGAGAATTAGATTTTGGTGTGAAGAATATGAGAGGGTGACTCGTATGAGGGTGTATTTATAGGCTAGCTTATGCTAGAATTATGGTAGGAGAATGTAGGAAGAGTTATAGAAAATTGGTTTAAGAAAATTACTTTGAGAAGAGATTTTAAAAATTAAGGAAAGTTTAATATTATGGTGACTAAGAAATACTCCCTCTGTCTCTATTTTATTGCTCCATTGGACTATGCAAGGTCTCTTAGACATGTATTAAAACGTTTATATCTTTATTTCCATACATGTAAAAATTATAAAAACGTGATTTTAATAAAATATAAAATGAGACGAATCTAACAATGCAAGACCACTCATGACTATATTACCTTTTATAGATTAACGACAATTTATTGTCAAAGTTTGACCCAAAAAATGGAATTGGGTCAAAAATTAAGGGACAGAGATAGAAAATAATATGGAAAATGACTTATCTTGGGGATTAATCAAAGTGATCAAATATTTAGGGGATAGAAAATAAGAATTAAGGAATTAATAGAATATAAAATACAAAACTTACCAAAATAATTTTGCTCAAAATACAATATGGTGCCCAAAAATTTGAGCTTTCCTAAACTCATATTTTCATACATCCTTTTAAATATTTGGGCAATTATTTTTCTAATTTTTAAGGATTAAAAATAATTGTGTAAATAATATATTTTTTATAATAATTAATTAGAAAAATACCAATTATTTACTAGTTAATTTAACGGCTATTTCAGTAAATGGCACTAAGCACTTTAATAACTCACCAAATGCCATCAAGGTTTTCAAAATTCACCAAATTCCACTGACAAACCATACATTGACCCTCATGTCATTAATGAGGTCTGGATGTTAGGTGTCTGTTACTGCATTCAATTCATATTTCATGAAATGCCACTTAGCAGTTTAAATTTTCACCAAATGCCATTACTTTTGTAAATTTTTACACTATATACCTTTAAACTAATGAGTTGTAATGGCTAGTTGTTTGACCTTTATTGATTTTTTTTTTGGCAAATCTAGCCATTGCACCCAATTTGTTGTATTAATAGTACACTAGAACACACACAGAAGACCTATTTGAATAATCACTGATGATGTCAGCGATTACTATTTTATTATTAACTAGATTAGTCACATGTAATGCACAACATTAAAAAAAAAACTCTTTGAAATATGTAATATACGTAGTATATTTTATGTATTTATATTACTTAATTACCTCATATAATAATTATAGAGTATATATTTTATGAAGCATAAGTGCCGGGAAAGAAGCATTAGATATAGATAGTAGGAAAATAAATAAATTATTGATAGGAGGTGAAATTAAATTAATATATATTACTCCGTATTAAAACTCATGACTGTCGCCAAATCATACCATGCCATTAATGATTGAAAAACTCCATGCATTAACCTTCATGTATTAATGTTTAGTATAATTGATAAACTCTTCATATGCATAACACCTTATCTAAATTTCCCTGAGAATGTAACTCTTTAATAATTACACAATAATAAGTTTGTAACCATTTTTATTTTGTGCATTAATTCATAAAATTGTAATTATAGAGTAAAAGATTTTTGTGCATTATGCAGTAGTATATATTTTGACATCAAATTTATAAAGATTTGATTTATCACCTTTTTTTTATAAAAAGGGTTGATTTTAATGCAAAAAAATTATTCTTAAAGTCAAACAGGCTTATACAAATTAAACAACAAGCTACTTAAGCTATCATCCTTAAAGAAAAAAAAAAATAAACCACCATTAAACTCTTAGTGACAAACAAGCTTAAATATATATACGTCTATTAAAGTAGTAAATTTATAATGACCGGCCAATAACTTGTTTCAAATTTAAAATCAAAGAAAAATATAATGACATCATATTTTATTTAGGTGGGGAAATTTTTCTTATAAAGCTGCCATGTGGACAATTTGGTTTCAACGGTTGCTACTTTAGTGATATTTATAGATTATAGATATATTGATGATTCCATTAAACAACATTTACATATAATAAGCGTCAATTTTACCTCAATAATATAACTCATAATTGACTTTAATTCACAAAATTTTTGGCAAAATAATTATTTGTATAAAATAATAAGATTTTTGTAAAACAAATATGACATAGTAAGCACATTATGCAATGTTGTTCCTTAAACATAATGAAAATTTAGTACTACCTCCGTTCATGAAAGTTCAACTCACTTATTATTCATATGGTCAAAATAAAATAACTTTGGCCACATTTTATGATTTATACAATCAAAGTAAATAAACAATTTTGAACTTATTAGATTCCCCTTATAATATATTTTTTCAAATATCAACTCTAGAAAAATTTTACTTATACATAGCCGAAATTGTTAATGGTCAAAGATGTTCATTGGAGACTGTGCAAATGCAATGTGAGTTGAACTTTCAGGACCGGAAGTAGTATCAATTACATTACTAAAGGAGAATCTAGAGGGACACTTGGCAATATAATATAAAGAGTTATCCCTCCAAAATAACTTACTAAAAAAACCTTATTTTTATGTTTGTATCTAAATTTTGACTTTTGATTTGTACAAAATCTAAAATAAACTAGCTTTTTTAAATATCACATTTCCCATTATAATTATTTCATATTTAATTATTTTCTTTCATATATATATCATACTTTTTTTTGAAGAAATATATTTCATACTTTTTAATACTGCGTTATACTTTTTTTTTGATAAAATTTATTACACACTCATGTCATAAAAAATATTTATGAACAAACTAGTGTTTAGCCCGGGCGATGCCCCGGGTCAATACTTTAAATATTATTGAATTATAGTTTTTATGTGTTATATTTTAGTAGACAAATTTGATTTTTATTTTTGATGCACATAATAATCTTAAGCATAAATAAATACAATCTCATGCTCTACATTAATTATATATAAGAAAAATAAATAAACAACATTATGAAATAGCAAAGATGGTATGACTTCTTATTCATTTTCCAATTGACCCAAATTCAATTCTTGCCGTAAACATTTTATAATTGATGTGTACCGTTTATATTTTTAACTAGGTAAAGTAGCATATTATTAGTTTCTAATTAGATGATGTGGTATCTTGTTGGTAACATTTTATAATTGACGTGTATCATTTATATTTTTAACTGGGTGACGACGACGTGGCATATTGTTGGTTTCTAATTGGATGACTTGGCATCTTGTTGGTGGAATGGAGGGTGACACGTGACGTGTATCTTTGATTAGAAACGCCTTTTAATTTATTATAGATAAAGTAAAATTAAAGTTAGAGTTATAAAGTGTTTACATAACATAACAATTGATAAAAAAAAAATAAAAAAAAAAACAAATGTAATAACTAATCTCTTACAACGAAGCAGTTTAATTATTAATTATGTTGTAAAATGTTGAGTGTATGTTGTGAATTTATAAAGCTAATTTTATATTTTGTATCGTTAATGATGGTATAACATTGAATTTTAGTTTTAAATTTACTAAAATAAATGTCTAATTTAGATAATAAACATTATAACTGTACATCAAAATATAAGGTGATGATTATATTAGGTGATTATGGATTATTATAGATAGATGATTATAGCTTATAATGTGATGTTTAAAAGCCCTTTTCCATTATATATATCCTTTTCTATTATACAAGATGATAGTTATATTATAGGTGATTAAGATGATTATAGCTTATAACATGTGATGTTTAAAAGCCTTTTTCTGAGGCATTCCAAACGGAGGGTTAGATGTGTCTCGCAGGGCAAAAGGGTCATTTAATACGTAATTTTGAAAATTGCCACCTAGATGGCTAGATCGCCGTTTTGAGAAAAAGCATCCCGTTATGAAAAGTAAATTTGTCTCATATGTTTTTGCTCTATTTCTCTCTCTTGGACTGTTTCATTTTTCTCTTTCTCCGATGAAATTCTTTGAAATTGCTGAAGAATTGTTGAAAGGAAAAGGCGGGGCGGGCAAATCTGTTAACCCGTTGTATACATACTTCCTCCATTGTTGAAATAGGTATGTAATTACATGTTTAATTGTTGAAATTTGAACTAATTAAGTTAGGGTTTTCCTAAAATCGTTGTTTTGAAAAGTTAGGGTTTTTTTTTTTACCAAAAATTCTCCGCCTTCTTGTGCCATAACCGGGTTTCTCCCTAAGCTGCTCAACTGAGCCTTAGATCTTGTAGAGTAAATGAGTAAATTTGAATTGAATACGTTACTGGCCTTGATCGTGTTGAAAATGGCTTGCTATTAGGGTTAAAATTGTGAAAATGGGTTGTAATTGTGAAGATGGACCGGTGGGTTTAATTTGGGGGAAAAACGTGGGTTTGGGATTGATTGGGAAATCGTTATCATGAGAAACCTAAAATTTCAGTATTATGGCATAATTTTGGAAAAAACCTGGGTAAATCTGTAGTTGGTGCATTGTTGGGATGAAATTAATATAGGATTGATTGGTGAATTGTTATATTTAATTAGCCTCATTATTTTGGTAATGTTTGGTGTTCATCTAGATTTCACTTTTGAATTACTAGTTATAATTAATACCCACGCATATTTTAATTTTAAATAGGTTCAATTTGTATTTGCTTGGAATCACACAAGTCTGCTGTCAATTTTAATGAAGTATATACTCCATATATGATAAATTACAGCTAGCTCTTAAAGTATTTCTTTAGTACAGATGCATTATTTTTTGGTTATTATTAATTTGATATTATTGCTACATAAGAAAATTTACATTAGTGAAAATTTCTAAATTTTATTTATATTTATGTGCTAAAAGATGTGTACACAATACTCGTAACATATAATAGTTCAAGTTTTTGGTCTGTATATTGAAATGATGTATCTTTGATCGATTTAGTTTATTCCTTTTCTTATGTAGTGAATATTTTTTGGGTTTGTTTGTCTTGGGATTTAATTAATAAAAGTGTTTAATCTTAGTGATAGGTTGTAGACACCAAAATGTGTCTCTCCAAAACCAAACCCAGTGATGAATACCTTTTACGTCATTTGATTATTGAACAAAGTGAAAGTGTGAAAAGTCTAGTGATGAAGATTTTTTTGTTAAAATATTTCTCTTTTTATTTTCAAAAATATTTCTTTTCTTACTCTATGTTGTGGGTGTTTTTGTCCCTCGGGAGAGTTACGTCACAACGATTGGTCCGGCTGAGTTGTGCCTGCAAAACAATGGAGACTCCGGGTGGTTGGAGCTCCACCTCCGAAAATCAAGTTAGTAACTTGAAAGAGAATAAAGAGTGCGGAAATTTAGGTGGGGATCTGCTTGGATTCCAAGCTCGGGTGTTTCTCTGATGAGAGAGAATGTAGGTGTAATAAATGATTGAATGTGTCCCCAAAATGGAGAAATATCTCCCTATTTATAGGGTCATTGGTAGGAATGCCCCTATTTAGGTCACTTGACCTAGATTTTAGTGGGTTGCGCCGTTTTATGGCGCCATTTCAGAATTTTTCTGAAGGAGCCACGTGTCGGATGGCTTTGGAACCACTTGGGTCAGCCTGGTCTTGACACGTGGCCTTCTCCTATAGGGACACCTGACTAGGGTAATTTTTACCCTAAACACTCTATTTATAAAAAATAGCTAGTCCAATTTGGTTTGGTCCATGATAAGGGTCCAATAATAGTGTAGTTGGATTGGGTTTGAAAAGAGCTTTCCAACGATATATTATAAGTCCAATTCCGATGAATAATGAGGAAGTTATGGATTAAATTAAATTAGGCCCATTGATTTTAAATGTGGCCCAATGATCTAGAACAGGGCCTATTAATTATTATTCCTATGGTGATTAGGATTGATTTTAATCTTCTAGGAATATGTAGAAGGTTCTATTTAATTCTAATAAGATTAGGATTGATAATTAAATTTTTAAAAGATGTTATATTTTGAATAAAATATATTATTTCTTAAATTTGATTTTAAATCTGCTTAGATGCGGAATTACCTGGTAACCGATTTAAAAGATGATTCCACGTATGAAAGCGCGTTGTACTTTTAAATCAGCGCAAGACGACAGAGCTGTCGCCTAGCGTTGCTCTTGTTGTTTAGTTCAGCGACAGGAGGTATTTTATTCCGAATATGATTTTCTTTTACCCCGTGCTATTTTTTCTATAAATAGGGGTCGTATTTCCTTTTTTTAATCATTCACAGTCATAATCTCTCTCTCTCTCTAAAATCTAGAAGCTTTCTCTCTCTCTCGATTCTTTTTCTAAACCTCCTCTCTCTCAAAATTCCTCACTCATTAGTCCTAGACACACATAACCAAGTTCGAAGTTGCCTCCGCCCTAGACGTGAAAGGTTTGATATTTCTGAGGGTTTGGTCCCAAATCCCTATTTCAATTATTTAATTTAATTGTTTGATTTATTATTTGCTAAGAAGTTACTAACATGTGTATTTTGTTATTAGAAAGAGGTACGGGGCATCGAAGTAAGTAATTTAATTGTTTTATTGATCTTTTGATATAGAAATCTTGCTTACATTATTTTTTTTGATTCCTAGTATCATGTTAGGATGTTTTATTGTTTCCTAGTATCATGTTTAGGGTTAACTAATATTTCTGATATTATGATGTTTTCTATTTCATTCCTAATATCATGTTAGTGTCATGTTAGGGCTAATTGATCTTTAATGTTTAGTGACATGCTAGGGTTTGTTATTAATCTTGTTAGTCTCATGTCTAGGATCTTGCAATTACTATTATGTTTTATTGAGATCTTGTTATTACGATGATGTTTATTATTATGTTGCTTATTTTTTTATTGCTTGATCACGCTTTTTATGCATGTTTAATTTAAAAGGAATTTGTAATTGTAATCATGCTTAATAAGATAATTAATAATCTTGTTTAGGTTAATATGATTATAATTCAAGTGATCGCCAATAATAGATTTGCTTGTGCATTAATATTTAACCAACATAGATAAACAGGTTTAGGGTTAATCTATTGATTGTATATTAGTTAGAAAGCGCACATGAATACGAGAAGAATAAAGTAGATGTCTATTTTTAGGGCAGGTTCAATCTCTTTTAGGTTGGATTTGTACATTCATCCTCGAAATTCTAGTCATGGTTCCAGACCTATTGGAGTTAACGATCTTCTGGATCATTAAGGGGTGTAACCTTCACCATGTGAATGGTTTACAAGTTCCTAAAACTTGTTGCCGACTCTTTTACTTTAGCTTCCTTCTCTTTGGACGTCACCATGCTTAAGTGTATGATCACAGTGGGGCTCTGAATGTTTTATCGTAGTGATATGCAGTTATGCATTGCCTGTGTAGCATGCTCTGAATTGAGTTCCTTTTGAACTGAAATTGACATGAGTTGGTATTCAAACTTATTTTGAATTAAATTTTGATCAGCTACACTGAAGTCATGAAGAAGAAGTCAATTGTACGGTACGAATAAGACAAGTATATTGAACATTCCCTATCTAAGTTGAAGTTATTTGTTTGATAATTTCAAGGTCAAATAAAAAGGGAGGTACCATGGAAGTCATAACATGTGGCTTCCTCATCCAAGGCAAAATCTATGGCTTTCAATGGTAAACGTAAGGCAAAATGTAATGTTGACAAAGACTGTGAAGAAGATGTGGAACGAGGACTTAAGTTATCCTACTAGTAAGACCACTATTGTAGTTGGCTATTGTTCTACATAGTTGTTGACTTGTTGCTCAAGTCCTAGTGTTGTAGAGAGGGAATGGTGTTGTTTTTTTGGGTTTAGCTTTATAAACATGATATTGTTTTTGTAATATTTGCTTATGTACTTATGTGTTGGCTTTTGTCTTGCGGACTTGCTTGTTTTTTTATAGTTAGGATATGGTGTATTTTATCCTAATTACATGTTGTTCCTTGGGTTAGCTTTGGAAAGGGCAATTCGAAATTCAGCAGCTGTGTTGCCTTTGCAATTTACTCCCTCCGTTTTTAGATACTTGCTCCATTTCTCTATGCGCGGAGTTTTAGGAGAAATTGGAGAAAGTAATAAAATATGGAAGTAGTGGGGTTGGTGGAAGAATAAAAAATTGTAAAAAAACAAATGTAGTGGAGAGCATTGAAGGAGAGAGAATATGAAATTAATATTGTTAGGTCCACTTTTTGAGAGAAACTAATTAAATATTGTAAGAGCTTTCCAAATAAGGAAATGAAACAATTATTTAAAAACGGCCGAAAAAGGAAAGTGGAGGGAGTAACTTATTTATGCTTTATGGGGTACAAAATACTTTATGTCAATACGTGTATAATAAGTTTTAATATACAAAGTTAAGAAGTGAATCCATAGTAACTACCACCAGAGATTACATTTGTTCATTTATATATGTAAAAGGTACATATAACTATTGCAAAGGTGCAATTTCAAAGGTAATAAATTCACAGAATACATTATAGTAGCACAATGTTTACTTGAGTTGAACATACAATACTTTAAATTAACGCATATGTAGATTAAGTTTAATTATACAAAGTGAAGAACTGAAGCCACAGTTAATACCACTATATATTACATGTGTTCAATTATATATGTTAATGGTACAATTACATATGGATTCAGGTGCAATTATAGTACAATTACGTATGGCAAAGGTCCAACTATATATGTAAAAGGTGAAGGTACATGACCATCTTTGTACCGTGATTGCTAAAAGAAAACAATAATAAGAAACAACAATAAGTAGTAAAAAAATATAACAATTATGGCAAAAAGATCCGAGTGAAGCCAAGTTATGGTCTTTTCAAAATTAGCTCTTTTGTGTTGTTCTATTACATTACCAAATAAAATAAAAAATTAAACAAAAACAAAAACAAAACTTGCCTTATAATTAACTCATTTGCTTATACTAGGGCGGCTAATTAAGGCGTGAGATACGCGTGTCATAATTAGCTATGTTCGGATAGGATTTTTTGTTTGACATTTTGTCACAATTTTAGTTGTTGATTTGTTGGCAACATTAATAGATAAAAATATGTAAACAAATATTTTAGGGGTATACATAACCGCACACTGTTCTAAAGAGTTTTAAAAAAAACAATTAACATTAATAAGGACAATTAAGTAAATAAAAATTTTAAAGGGTATAACTGTCCAAACAGTTTTCATAAGAGTTATCTCATATTTTTAAAGGGATTAACTGATCTTCTTATAAGTCGAATGTTGTGATATCTATATATATAGTCCAATGTCATGTCTCAAATTATTCCTCTCATGAGGAGGACTTCTTAATATTTATTTCCTTATACATATTTAGATTCTACAATCTAGATCTTTGATATAAAAACGTTTGGTAGTATATTGTTCAATCCCTAAACCTCAATATTGGTACCCTAGTTCCTTACAAAGGTACCCTTTCCCTTGTTGATTTCAATGGTACCCTTGTTTCTTGAATTGGAACCTTTGTTGATGATAATGATACCCTTTTTAATTATAGGGACACTGTTATATCAGTTGAACCCTACATAGGTACTATGGAAACCCTAGTTGGTTACAATGGTACACTGGTTAAATGACATTTAGTGGTGCTATAATTGAATAAATCGGTTCTCTAGTTACTCACAGTGGTGTTTAATGAAATACCTTTGGCAATATGTTGGGTACCACTAAAAATTTGTAGGGTTTCAGTCAAATTTATTGAAAGGGTATTGCTAAAAATTTGTAGGGTAAAAATCGTATAATACATTTTAGGATTATGATTACAAAACAAAAATGAGCCCTGAGAATTTCTCAGTGTTATTTTACCTTTTTAAGTCAGTCGCAAAGTTCAAATCTATTCATCTACGACAAAATTTAAGATTTGGGGAGGTTTAGTGATTTATGTAGATTGTTCTTCTCCTTGCTTAATTGACTAAGCTTATGAGTTTAATTTAAGACGAAAATGTGAGTTGTTCCAACATGGTGAATGCGAACACTTGGATAAAAAATAATAACCCTTGTACTTGAATTGTAAAGTGTGGAGTTACAACAAACCTACAATCCCTAATTTATATACTCGTTCACAAAAGTTAAATATACCCAAACATAAGAGTATATTTACTTGTGTACTAGTAATGTTAATATTGAATTTGACGGTCCCTACTTACATTGGTATATACATCTTAAATAGATTAAATTAGATCAACATTATGTATGATAAAGAATAAATGAATAGAAAAAACTAATTCATTTAACTAATTCATACATAACTAATTCATTAAACGAGTACCTCTAACAATTTATTGGATACATCTGTAATTGCTATTGGTTGCACTAAAACATATAATGGTTCAACTAAAAGTGCAAAATCATACCTGCAAGGGTTTCATACTTCCATTAAACATGAGATTTATGTTCCACTAATAAGGCTTTGAATACCATTCTGAACAGGCTATCACATGAAGCATTAAACTATTAATTATAGTTCTGTTGTGCACCAAAAAAAATAATCATAATTCTTTTCAAATATAACCCACATAATTACATGATGAAGAAAATAAAATTTGGCATTTCTATACAAAAATTTAACCCTTAAACGACTAATACTCTTTGCCTTGCTTGGAGTAGGGGTGTATCCATCGTGATCAAGGTTGGCCCTTTAAATAACTCATTCACCATGGTCATTGACATTTTAGCCGCCATTGCCTCCGATCCCATAGCTCTCACAAGTCCACAAACAATTCCTTCTCGGCTTAGCATTCGGGCCTTATTTTACAAGCACTAGTACGAACTACGCCAAATCCTTTTTGCTTTCCGTATTCCCTAAAATATTCATCAAGTTTCAGCCATGACTAAAATAATCCACTTCCACAAACTGTTCTATCTCAATTGAAATTTCCATACTTAGGAGTCTTATAAGACTCTTCACCAATCACAACCTTGAGTAAAATGCATAAACAATAACCATAATCACCAAAAATGAACAATAATCATTACTCAAAGTATCAAACAACTTTTCATGAACATCCAACCATACTATTTTTACCCTATTGAAGCATCAACAACCACATTTCATCAATTAAAAGTTCAAAACACATACAACAACTAATTCCTTGGTATATCAAAATAATTACATACATTTCCCTCTTCATACCCATTAATTAAACAAATTAGATTTCATATTTTGCAACATAACATTAACATTTCATTTTACATCAATCAAACAAATTCTTTTTCCTATTTTTGACAAGGACATAAACGCGTCGTCAATTGTCTATCCCTAGATCAAATACAATTTATACAACCTAAACAAACCTAATACGAGTATAAGGCAAGCATAGGGGTCGAACCACAGAGAACGGTAAACACTACCAAATGTTATCGACAATTACGCTAGTCCGGAATAGGAGATAAATAAACTAAAGTCTAAAGATGCTAAAACAAGAAATAAAACATTAAGGCACCAAGGGAAATGGGTAGGTGAAGTTGACGCTTGACCATACAATAACAAAGTAGCATATCAATGGTAAACTAAACATGCATGAATATCGAAGTAAAGGGTCCAATCTAGCCGCCTTCCGGGGTCAATTGGCTTCTCCTAACATAGCCTCTATGTTTCCACATTAGAACCATATACTAGGAGGTACTATTAAATAACAATCGATAGTAATGAATCTCAACTAAGTCAACTTCCGTTACTTGTTAGTAAAGACTCATCTTTGATCAACTAACAATGTGCACTTGTAAGAAAGACCAAAGAATATCAAGCATGCAAAGACTTTAATCACCATTAACATAACCCCAACATTAAAAGCATGAACAATTAGCAACTACACCATCCCCACACCCTTGGCTAGATGACTACTCACAAATCATATTGAAAACAATATCAATCATCAAATCAATAAGCATCAACATGATTAATAAGCAAAGAAGAAAAATAAAAGCAAATAAGCAAAATCAAAAACAAAGGTAAAGAGAAAGAGTAAGAGATTGCTCATTAATTGAAGATGAAGGTATACAAAGGATTGAACAAGCTCCTTCTTCAAGATCCAAGTTCATTAATGAAGAAAACCACACTTTCTCTCTCTACCAATGAAGACTAATCCTAACCTAACCTAAAACTAATTAGAGAGAAGAATAGATGATTATTGAATATCCCTAAATTACCCTAAAAATGGGTATTTATACTAACTTAATAAAACTAGGGAAAAAAATAGAAAAAGAAAAGAAAATAAAATAAATTAAAAAGGAAAAGTAAAAAATAGAAAACCAAAATAAAAATAGAAATAAAAGAAAGAAAATAAGAAAAGAGAAAAGAAAACAAAGAAAATAAAAATAAAAGAAAAACAAAACAAAACAAATCCCCCACCCACAAAACAATCAGACAGCCTTCTTCGAATAACATGGCTGCTCTATTTTTCGATTATCATACCACCATCATCAACCATTATCATTAAATCAATGCTCCAAATCAATGGCTATCAACACCAAATGCATCATCATCGTTCGATCCTCATTAAAAATCATGTGCGAGGCTCGTGAAATGGTTCGACCGAACTACGGGGTTTGTTCGGTCGAACCATGGGTATGTTCGACCACTCCTCTTCGAATAACAAAACCCCCAAAGTCTCTGACTCGACGTTCGGCCGAACACTCATAGGTTTGCTCGAACTTGATTAATTTGCAATTTGTTCTGATTTTTGGGTCGATTGGTTGCTTAATTGGTGGTGGTTGTTGACGGTGGTGTAGGTGCGCTGATTGTGGTGGAAGGAGGAGATGAATTGTGATTGGAGGCTGGTGGTTGATTGCGAATTGGAGCAGGGGCTGTTGCTCTGAGTTGCGGTGGTCAGGTGGTTGGTGCTGGTGTGTGATTGCTGTTGTTGTGAGGTGAATTGGAGCAGGGGATAGGAATGCGTGGCTGGTTTGGGCAA